GGCATGCCATCTGATATTGGGAGCTCGAAAAATGGAGCTTTCAAGTATCTTAAAGATCGCCTTTGGAGCAAGATACAAGGTTGGATAGCCAGCACAATGTCCACTGCGGGAAAGGAAGTTCTTGTCAAAGCGGTTGCTCAGGCGGTTCCGATCTACTCAATGTCTTGCTTCAGACTACCGAGGGGGCTCTGCGAACACTTAAACATGCTGATTAGGAAATTTTGGTGGGGAAGTAACCAAGGGCACCGCAAACCACATTGGGTTTCATGGAAATCTATGACACAGCCAAAGAGCATGGGAGGACTTGGATTCAAGGACTTCGAGCTTTTTAATTTGGCCATGCTTGCCTGACAAGCTTGGCGCCTTCTCCAGAATCCCAACACTTTGAGTGCTCGGCTTTTGAAAAGCATTTATTTCCCAAACACAGATATCCTCAATGCCAACCTGGGAAATCATCCTAGTCAAATATGGAGAGCCATCGTTGATGGGCGCGACATTTTGCAGCAAGGCATTATCAAAAGAATAGGCAATGGCCTCACAACTCATATATGGCATGAGAACTGGTTACCGAGAACCGAGATGATGCGCCCGTATGGCTGTTTGACACCAAACCCGCCAACTGTTGTAGCTGAGTTGCTGAACCCAATGAGTGCCACATGGAATGTGGAGCGCGTGCGGGAAACATTCCTACCCCTAGATGTTCCGGTCATCTTGGGTATCCCTTTGTGTACGCGCAATGTTGATGATTTCTGGAGCTGGAACTACGAGAGGAATGGAGTTTTCTCGGTTAAATCTGCGTACAATATGCTTGTCTCAACGAGGAACAGAAGAGAAGCTTGGCTATATGGGACGGCTAGCTCGTCAGGCAGTAGAGCTGAGGGAGCATGGAAATCCTTATGGCGTACGCGGATCCCTGGCAAAATACGCATGTTCCTATGGAGGCCAGCCAAGCAGTCCCTGCCGACCGAGGATGTACGCTGTCATCGTCATATGACTAACGATAGCTCCTATGGCTTTTGCGGAGGTGCAGATTCATGGCGCCATTCCTTACTTGAATGTACCTCCTCACGCTGCACTTGGGCACTGGTTGATGAGGATATGGTGATGAACCTTGTGGCGAACGCTGAACCTTCGGCCAAAAACTGGCTGTTCACGCAACTAGAAGCTCTGCCGCATGAGATGTTCATCAAAATGGCAGTAACTTTATGGGCGATCTGGACATCGCGTCGGAAGGCTGTCCATGAAGGAATTTTTCAGAACCCACATGCAATCGTCTCATTCATTAACAGATTCTTGGAAGAGCTATCTTTGATAGGGGAGAACCGGTCTGTCCAACATGCAGCAGTTCAGCCACCTCCAGCAAGAAGAACAGCGAGGCGACCAAGAGCACCACCCCCTCAACATGTAAAGTTCAATGTTGATGCTGGGATCAGGAAGGGTAGAAGAGGATCGGCAGCCGCAGTGTGCCGTGATAATGAAGGGAACTATCTGGGTAGTTCAGCTATTGTGATATCTGGAGTGGACGATCCAGCGACAATGGAGATGATTGCATGCCGCGAGGCACTTTGTCTGGCTGAAGATCTCCAAGTTACTCAATTTGTCGTAGCCAGCGACTCCAAGCAAGTGATCCAAGACATCAGCCAGGGTACTTTGTGCAATTATGCAGCTATTACCAGCGAAGTCAGGGCTAGAGCTCTTTCCTTTTCTTGTAAATTTATTTTTGAAGGTCGTGCCAACAACTATGAGGCACATAGTTTAGCTAGGTTCTCCCTTAATCTTACCTCGGGTCGTCATGTGTGGCTGGGCCAGCCCCATGATACAACTTGTATCCCACCATCTGTGGATTTCGATGAATAAATTTTGGCCAAACCCTCAAAAAAAAAGATGGTTTTCTATCAGTGTTAAAAAAAGATGGTTTTCTATCTTTTTTTTGCTTTCCCTAGTTTATTTTTTTTGGTCGGTTTGTTATATGTTTGCTTTAGAAATGAAGAACTTTTACATATTTTTAAAACACGCCATTTGTATTTGAAATTTTTAGAGGTTTTTCAATAAAAATAAACACTTTTTGAAAATTTAAAATTTTTGAGTGTTCGAAATTTTTAGTAAGTGTTCAAAATTTTAAAATTTTCAAAAACCGGCATTTCCCATTTGTCGCAACATGTAGAAATAGGAAATGTCGCTTTTCAATTCACATTCTTAGAAAAAGGGCTCACGCCCATAACCGAAGATGAGGAAGAGGCATGGGAAGGGCATATAGGCATAGCCCATGCAAGAATAATCATGGGATAAGCAACTTGTGTCATTTAGGGTGTGCCCATATCAGCAAAGATGGATCGCGAGCTAGCTGCTCCACACATCCAGACACAAACAACAGAAGATCCTTGCTTGACCATAGAGTAGCACCACCAATTGATTCAAGCTACACTTAAGACGGTAGTTATAGATTTTGCGGTACAAAACACACACACACACACACCACCCAATCGGTTGCACA